AGTTGTATCTTTAGTTGTTTAATTCTTGCTCTTGTTTATGAGGCAGAGAACTCTTCAAGCTTTTTCAAACTTTGAAAGAACTCAAGCAACCTACCATACGAGTATAAATGGTTTCTGACATAGATGAAAGAAGCCATGATAGGAGAAGTTAATCTTACTGAACATCAACAAAATCTTTTTCAGCTGTAGTCTTTGTGTTGGTTGTGCTTGTCTTTTCAGTTGTGCTTGTCTTTTCAGCTGTGCTTGCTTTTTCTGCATCTTCTTGTGAATCTTGTCGTGCTTCGTTTGAAGTCTTTTCAGTAGAGCCTTGAATTTCATGAGTGATAAATTATGGTCAGGTTTTATCCTTTGATTGTTGGCAAGGCTTGTTGTTTCCATGGCAAAAAGTTGTCTTCATCCAACTTAAGTGATACTGGGTTAGTGAAAGTTTGGACAAAGTTACGCTTTTCGGTCTCCATGGATCAAGAGCTCCGATACCATAAAAGATATCAAATTCTTGATGTAAAAAGAAGAGAATCTTGAATACTGAATGATTTCTGTATATTGAATATTATGTGATTGATATAAAAAATGGATGGATTACATTATATACTATGTTGTATTATTTGTATAAATACTAAAAGTGAATAACTAAAAGTTAGTTACAGGACAATTGGGCCCATTTGGCCCAATAGGTTCATATATCATTTCAATAAGAAAAAAAAGTAAGATGGTATTACATTAAAGATTTTATCCTAAAATTACAAAGTTATATAAAAAAAAAGTTGAGACTAATTTAAAAATTATGCACTTATAATTAAGAAATTACAAAATATGTTTGTAAATTTTTAATATACCATGTAACTGTTTTGTAACTATTATCTTTTTTTGAGACAGTAATGTGAACCCCCAGTTTAAAATGTAGGGCATATTGTATTGAAATTTCCGATAAAACAAGTGTGGACATTATCTGGCATTGATTTTTGACTTTCAGTAAGAACCCCACTCATTAATCAATGGGTTTATCATCTATCATTTAACATGACCACAAAAATTTTCTTACACACAACATTTTGTGGGGCCCGCAGCAAAAATAAAAATAAAAATTCTGGCACGCAAAACGAATCTCTATAACATAACACAATTACTTTTCCTACAACATAACTCTTATAAAACCCTTAATCCTGTTACATAACGAGAGACAACAATATGGTACCCATAAAGCGGTGCAGTTGAATAGGAGCAGTTTAATTGGTTACTCACACTTTTTTTTTTTGATAGACTAATAATAGGTTACTCACACTTTTACATCGTACTGCTAGGGAAGTTAAACTCTATTATCGAATCTTGTTATCATTGAAACTGCATGATATACCCTCAAGAATCAAGAACGAATACAATTTTGGGACCCCTCTAAAATAAGAGATAGTTCAGTGTGACAGGTTAATAAATCAGATATATACATATCAAATAACAATTATTCCTTTAGCAAAAAAATAAATTATTCCAATGGTATGATTTGATAATTTCTTATAAATGATTAGAACTGGCTTTTCAAAGACTGACAATGCTTACCATCAAAAGTTTAAAGATGCACCGGAACAAAAAAATCTACTACAATATTATTTATGGTTTGCTTATTAAACCTCCTCCTACAAACTTCAATTTAGGCTCATCTTAACCATTCCCATAACAGTTAACATTCGATGAGCAATTTGTGAGGACGAAGTGTGTCTAAGTAGCATTATTTTTCAATTTCTAAATATTTCCATCTTTTTCTGGGTTAAATTTAGTGTCTGAGCAGGATAACCATAAGAACTTAAGCTATAAAAATTAATGTTGAGAAATAAATAACAATTCCTACGTTGTCCCTACTAATTTTGGTGAGGTCAATAAAAGTGGATAAAATATCAAAGTTGAGAGGCTACCTTAATTTGCAGCTTAGGAGGTGTTTGGTATGGAGAATTTAATAAGAATGTTGGGAAAGTAAGATAGGCAAAATATATTATCCATATTTGGTATGTAAGTTATAAAAAACCAGTATATTATTTTTTCCATGACTTTTGTTTTGAACTAGGCAATGGAAAATAAAATAGTAGTTTGAACTGTGGTATTTTTTAAATCCAAGAATGGAGAAACACCTTTTATTATTTGTAGACAAAAATGCCCTCAAAAAGTCTATATTAAGTACAACTTGTTTGAAAAAGTCTATAATGGGTAATTTCGTAATTTCAATACACATTCCCATCAATATTTCACCATCAACCAAACAAAGCATTAGTAAAAATAACCCAACTTTTCTGGTAAATTTTTTGCCTACCAAACGCTTTTTTGTAACTTACCCGGACACAAAAATTTCTCATCATATTCCGAGAATTTATTTACCCTAATAATAAAAAAATTTCTCTCATACCAAACACCCCCTTAAGAAATATACAAAATGCATTCAGCCTAAGTATCTTTATGATTTTATTTTATTTTTAGTTTCTATAGAGGTATTCTCACTCAACCTCTTGAGGCTAGAATATAAGGATATTTACCTCTGGCCCAAAGAGAGTCTGTCAAAAATCGAACACATATCCTATTCTTGGAGCACAATTCACTTACCAACCGTGCCTCCCCTCAGGTTAATCATCTTATGATTTAACCATCACACATCTGATTTAATTGAATATAACTTGAAAATAAAAAAATTACAATACTTGCCTTTCTCCGAAGAATCAAGACTTAAAGTTGTATATTTTGTAAGGGCTTGTTTTGAGAGTCACTTTTAGGAAAGAAAAGGAAGAAATAAAAATGTTTTATTTATTCTTGCTCCTAACGAAGAATAGGAATTGATGATTTTTGTAAAATTCTTTGGAATTATTCACACCTTTAAAATCAAAGTCACTCCAATTGGGAGATTCGAGAGAGAAAATATTAGAAATTATTTATCTATTCTTAACATTCAAATCAAAACCTGTTTTCTCTCCCCACAGGTCCTCTGAATCTCCTTCAACCAAAACCAAGCCAGCTTCACCGCCGCCACAGATGTCGGCTTCCTCTCATAGTTTTGGGAATAACAATGGCTTGTCTATAGAGCCGGCAAAACGGGCTCGGCTCGGAGGGCCAACCCGCCAAACGGGGCGGGACGAGCTCATTTTTGGCAAGTTGACGGCAGGTCGAGGCAGGTCAGTGTAAAATAGGCTCGGACTGGCAGGCTAACCCGCCAAACTGAGCGGGGCGGGCTGAGTTTTTCAGCCCACTTTCAAAAGCGGGGCGGGATGGGTTGACTCATTTTTTGACGAGTTGACGGCGGGACGGGGCGGGCTGCCTACTTTGCCACCTCTACTTGCCTGTACCACTTTTAACAAATTGTAATAAGCCTTCTACAATCAATTCTAGTGCAATCACAGATATAAATGACGGATACTGTGGTTTTAGCTTCCTTACAGATTGGTTATGTGCAAAACAAAAAGAGTAGGACGAGGAAGCGAGTGAGCCTGAACCAAATGAAGAAGATTTAGGTAGTACATAGAAGATCATGGTAATTAAAATTTTGATTTACTGCTGCGTTTTTATGTTTTTACAATTTTTTTTAATCAGAATATTTTTATCAATATTCTAAGTACTTTTACGTTTTTTATGATTTTTTACCATTTTTATTTACGTTATAATTTTAAGTATTACGATTTTTTATCCTACATAAAATCTTGTTTTTTACTACCTTGGCTAGGACCATCATTTTCTTCCAACTTCAGTGGGCAAAAAAATTAAAAAATAATGCTTTTTAATTAAATAATTATGCATTTATTGCAGTTTTGGCAATAATTACAGATTTATTGCACACTGTGACGCTCCATTCAATGGGGCATCACATGTGACGTCCAAAAGGGGTGTCTCATGTGTGTCCTATAAATACCCCTTTTTTTACCATTTCACTCCTCACTTTTCACCTCTCTCTAACCTTGGATTGTGCTACCGACCGAACGCGAAATTTTTGATTGCGAAGCTCTGCCAACTTAGGTAAGTTCGTAATACCTGCTATGTATACGTTTAAATTACAGTGCTACCTTGCGAACATGTTAGGATTTATCGTATATTAGAGACTTAGAACATTAGGATAGTCACTTAGAAATTTTTTACCATGCTTTAGAATATTGTAATGCTATAGTAATTTTTTTGTTACATTGTTATGATTATTAATATTTAATTATGCATTGGGGTTTAGCGTATGAATTAGTGATTTAGAAAATAGTGATAGTGACTTCGTAAATTTTGTATAATGTTATTAATGCGGGAGTGTATTGATAATTATGTAGTCAGTTAGGTGTGATGATTAGTACATATTTATGAAGTTATGAGTGACTTAGGGTTAAGTATTATGTCAGTATGATTTAATTTGTGTCCGATGTTTTATTATTATTTAATTACAAATAAATCTGTACTACGTATTAATATTAATTCATTAATTTCGATTCTAGTAAAAACGTAAGGTTTATGCTTAATTTTTTTTATAATAAATTACGACATTGCTTAATTAATTTGTACATAAAAATGTTGTGTCATGTGATTAATTTAATTATTGATTATTAATATTATATAATTTAGGGTCATGGCTGAATCATCATCATCTTCGGGTGGTGCATCGGATGCAGAGCCTACCGATCCCAGCATGTATATCATCCTTGGCCCTTATAAATGGGACGTCCTTCGTAAGAGGACGTAGCGTGCCCATATTTCACAACGAGTGTGGAATACGGAGCATGTGAGGAGACTCAAGACCCGGCGTGGGAAACCACAGGGTGGGCCACCTACCGGGGCTATTCCAGAGGTGGTCACACACTACCTTACACAGGCAGGCTTTATCCACGTTGCCCGGATGCGACATCTCCAGGTATGCAATTTACGGTCATTTTGTATTTATGTAATTATTTAATATCATCGTTAACACGTGATAATTGTATAATTAATTTCAGATCGATGCCCCGTTAATTAGTGTTCTGGTCGAGAGGTGGAGACCAGAGACACATACCTTCCACATGACGCAAGGTGAGATGACTATCACCTTACAGGATATGGCCGGCATATTGGGATTGCCTACTAGCGGGCAAGTCGTTACCGGATCTACAAATGAGGATTGGCCCGCTGTTTGTGCTGCTGTTTTTGGCGCGGCTTCACAGACCAATAAGTTCCTTCATTCAGGTGACCTCCGCATCTCATTTTTAGATCGGTTATATACCCGGTGGACTGATCATGCTGGGGATCATGATCGCGAGATATTTTTCACAAAGGCGCATATTGCTCGCATGCTGGGGTGTTGGTTGCTGGCGGACAAGTCTGGAGGTAGCAATATCGGTTGTCAGCTAGTCCCGTTGCTGGGGGGAGGATTTGATGAGATTGGTCGTTTCAGTTGGGGATCTGCGGTTCTGGCACACTTGTTCAGGAACTTGTGCGAAGTAACAGATGTCGGTCGATCAGACATGGGTGGTTGTCATATTCTTCTTCAGATTTGGGCATGGATACGATTTCCACCCATTGCTCCACCCCTTCCTCCTCATGCAGAGTCGGGCTTGCATTATGGATGTCGGTATGCTTTATTAATTTCATTCAATTTCGCTACTGAGTTATCATATATACTAATTGTATACTTGCTTGATTATGATTGATTGATGATGTATGTTTCTGATGACAGGCTTAATACAGTGGCAAAGTTTAAACCTCATAAGTCACCCATTATCGGGCAACCTTGGATACACTATGTAGAGATGAGGTACGGTTTTGGATACTTAGTATGTTGTTATTTATAATGCATGTATCTTTTTGACATGTCACCATATATTCTTTACCATTTTGTGTGTAGGTTGTTTGGCAACCATATATCGATTATCAGTGGTTGGACGTGACTCCAGAGCAGCAATACCTTTGGCTTGTTGGCGCACCCCTTATTTACTTCCACACCGTAGAGGTATGTCAATCGGGTAGGTGCATGCGACAGTTTGGTCTGGAACAGCCCACCCCGGATGTGAGCAGGAAGTTGAGAGGGATCCATGATCATACACTGCGGGGGAAGGTTGACGAGAACTGGAGGCGTAAGCTTCGTCCATGGATACAGAGATGGCAGGTCAGGGAGCAGAATATCGTTCTGCCCCCTCAATTACTAGGGTTGATGTCACCCAACCATGCGTACATGGAGTGGTACAAAGCGAGGGGAAAGAGATACATTTCTCGCAGGGCAGCAAAGATTGGACGAATGGTGAGTTTATGACAAATTTTAGCTTGTTGTTACGTATTTGACATTCCTTTGACATTGTTAAAACTTTTTATGCTACAGATTGACGGTCTAGAGATGTTGTATCATGCAACAACCGCGGAGGAGTTTCCTCGCTTCGACTTAGACTATATCCGTGAGGAGATTGGCAGGATTATTGGGATGTTTCGTGAGAATTCACGAGTCGATGAGCCAGGACCTGAGGCACCCCCAGTGCAGACACAGCCTGATCTGCTGTTGTCCGTGGATGTTCCCCGTAATAGACAGAAGGGACGCGGATTAAGACGTACGCGTGAGCGAGTAGCAGTTGTCCCTGTTCCGATCATTGCACCGATGCCAGTGGTCGAGAGTTAGGGATGGTTCAGACCTCCAGTCATTGGGACTACTTACGGGTCACAGCCGATGTATCATCATAGATCGCAGGATGCAGGTGGTCCTAGCCAGCCGGAGTCTCAGCACCCATACGTGGATTCATAGGAGCCAGTTTTCCAGGCCAGTCCCATGGCTATGACTGGGGCCGAGCAGGCATTCTCACAGCCTTACTCACAACCTTTTTCATAAGGGCTTGATGCTGACATGGAGGGTTGGTGTAAGAACCCGCACCGTTAATTAAGGAATTTAATTAATTAAATATGCAAAAATAGGAAATGACTCCATAATTGACCCTAATAATTATTTATGAGGCTTAATAAATGTAGTAAGTGGTTTCGAATGCTGAAAGTCACTTTTCGGAAGAAAAGTGCAGATACCGGTTCTGCTAGTCGGTATAAATATGTACCGAAAAAGTATCCCGAAAAATTAATGTAAGTGCATGATAATAACTAGAATAATATTTAGGACTCGTAAAATGAGTTTCAAGTCCAAATAATGAGAACTGGTGCCAGAAATTGATACTGGCTATGAAAAGTGCGTACCGGAAAGGTAAGCAGAAAAATATTATAAAAATTTGATAATTCTTGTAAAATTGAGTAGGTTAAGAATCCAAAGTTTGGGATTAAAATTCTAAGCGGAGCAACTAAAGCTAATACTGCGCGTTTAAGTGTGAGTTGACTATTTATACACTTACTAAGGGCACATTGCCCTAGATACCAGATTTTCCTTCGTGAGAGAGGATGACCAGCTACTTGAGCACTGTTCCATTGGTCTCCTTCACCTTCTCTTGAGCCAAGTTGGGTCCTTTGGCATTGATCCTTCTCTTTTCTTCTTGTAAACACTTGGGAATCATCTTTGTGAGGGTGTAAGGGTGCCTTGCTAGGGGTTTTAGTCACTGTTTCTGGTCAGGGAGTGTGCTGAGTTGGGATATGGGATGAGAGCCACTTTCTTCTTGGTTTGTGTTGCTTCATGAAGCTACCTTTGTGAAGAAAGGAACCATCTTGTGCTAGCATTTTCGTGTTCTGTCCTAGTCAGAGGTTGAGGCACTGTTGGTGAGCTCCAAGAGCCTCTTGGTTCTGAGTTTTGAGCCTTGGTATGTTGTACCACCCTTTGTTCGTGAGTTTTATGCTTAAAAATGGAAGCTTGATGCATGTTAAGGCTAAAAGATGATAACTTAATGTTGGGGTTGGTCAAACACACCTAGAAATGCATGTTTAAGTGTCTTTAATCGGTAAAAACCCAACCTTGGAAGGATATCTTCACGAAATGCAGTTTCTGCATTCTGTCATGAAATATCCGGATATCTGCCCGAGAAATATCCGGATATGTGATATCCGGATATGGGATTTGGATATCCGGATATTGGATATCCGAATATGGGAATCTGGATATCCGGATATTGTATATCCGGACATGGTCAGTGAGATATCCGGATATTGCATATCCGGATATGTACCCGAGGAATATCCGTATATTCTGGGATTTCGTAGAACAGTAGGCTATTGGGGGTTTGTGGACCCTAGATTGATGAAGTTGAACTTCTGTAATTAATAAACTAAGTCAGAATCGTGTGATTAAGGGCTTGTGGCTTTGTTGGAAGCCTTAAGACGTAAATCGTTAAAGGAGAACGTAGTCTTTATGTTAATGCTTTTGAGTTATGTATGTTGATACACTTGCTGGTCCTAAATCAGATTGCGATCTGCTGTGTGTTGGACTTGAGCTGTGAGGACTCTTGGCATTGGATAGTGAGCTTGCAAGGTAAACTTTCGTGTCCTCGGTTTAGCCATGTTGTGGTTCCACCATGTCCCATGGGGGTATGGTTATATGCATGTTGTGTTACATACTTTTGATGTTTTGGAAATGCTGTTGAGCTGTTATATATTAGTGCCTTGTTGATATGCATGGAGGTGTTCACCTATACGGTAAGCCTGAGTATGTAGAACATACAATAGGGTGAGGCTGTGGGTGAGGTGCAAGCGGTGTTCCTTGTACTACATGTAGGTATAGACGTATTCCTACATTTCTCTGGCCAGTAGAATAGTGATTACACACATGCTATAGACATCTGTCGCACTATATAGTTTTGGAACTGATAATGATATAAATGCTTTTAGAACTTATATTGCACATGTAAGTGAGCTTGGGGTGGAAGATCATTGAGGACTCCTTGTCTTACTGAGATTTCTGGTTTAGAGATCTCACCCCACGTTTGGGGAATGCTTATTTCAGGGTCAGGTAATCTTGAGACCTCAGGCGACAGGAGGCCGGAGCTGAGTTAGATTTGCTGTTATTTATGCTGACATGTTGGATGCTGGATTTGCATGCTGCTTAATGCTTATAGCTTCAGTTCATGTTATGGAGTTTTATGTTAAGACTTGTTGTTTACGCTGTTTATTTGGTGAGCATGGGGATTGTCCATGACACGTAGTATTGTTTTATCTCGAGTCTTTTGGGAGTTGTAATAATGTATCAGGATATTGTCCGGATTACGAGATGTAATGCCGTGATTTAGATACACACTTTATTTATATATTAAGGTAGTTCAGTAGATGTCTTATTGCAATTTACATACAGGCGATATTTTATGAAATTGATTAAGTAATCGACTTGGCTAAGATTAATGACGTCATAATTGAAAAGAAAAAGAATATTCTGCAATTTTTAATTAAGCATCGCTTCATACGATGTAATGTTAATATTCCGGGTATACACGGGGGTGTTACAGTTGGTCTGCTAAAGATACCCAGAACGTGTGGAGAGAGCTAGGCCGTTTCCCAGATAGCCATGACAGTGAGGAGACTCTAGCCACGGACACCCACAGTCAGGGATTCACGCCATCCCACATGCAGGGTAGTACTTCAGGCCATGTTTATGCACATTATCCAGGGCAGTCTTCGGATATTGGAGGGAGCGCATCGACAGATGATTTTATGCGGGCGGCTATGGATGATTTCTAGACTCCACATACACCGACACCTCAGGGAGACCCAACATGGGACAGACGTATCCTGCCAGATAGGGATGCACGTCATAGGCAATGGCATCTGTGGTCGTAGTTTCTATTTTATATAGGGATTTTATGTATTAGTTATGACATTATCAGTTTGTTGTATTGTGGACTGTACATTTATGTTTTATTTGGATTAATTGTCCCTATATTTTATTTGGATTAATTGTCTTTAGTATTAATGCTTTGAACGTCAAGATAATTTTTCACCTGATACGGGAACTGATAAACACGAATACTACTATGAATTAAAAACATACATAAAGGAAATAGTCCAACATAACGCAAATTACAATTCAACAAATTAAATAAACCATGTAGATTTAGTACTAAGTGAATCAGTTGTTTCTCCCACGATTTGGTCATGCTCTGCGATTATGGCCGCGTTCCTTGCAAAGTCCACACTGATACGGCTTTGACTTGTCTCAACTTCGTCCATCTCATTGCGTATGCGAGTTGACTTTGGACGACCTTTTGCACGCAACATAGTGGTATCAGGAATAATCTTTGGGCCTGTACTTGTTGGTATTGCTTCCTCTTTTCCAATTGGCTCTCACGGAAAAGAATATGCCTCGACCAAGTTAGATGTCAAGAAGACATCGTCTACGTACGTGAAAGGACTCTGCCTAACACTTAAAGCAGCAGCAGCGGCGTGACTACACGGGTACTTAAAGGCCTTAAACTTTCCACATTGACAAAATCTCTGTGGAAGATTGACATAATATGAACGCTCCCAACCTGCGTCAACCTCGAAGACAGTATGATCCACGTTGTATGCACGAACATGGTGGCCTGTTGCATGTACCTGATTCTTCTTGACCAATTCAACAACATTTTTGCCATGACGATGAGCTGATTCAAGTTGCACAACAGCAGATGTACCCCTCTCAACAAAATAATGAACCAATTTGCTATATGTGTGCTTAACCAATGCAATTATCGGCATATTTCTGGCCCCCTTCAAAACCCTGTTCACAAATTCTGCCAAATTTGTTGTCATATGCCCGTACCTTTGTCCTTCAATATCATAGGCACGCGACCACTTTTCCTTAGGGATGGCATCAATCCACTCAGTAATTTGAGGACTACTTTCACGAAAGCTCGCAAGATTCCTTTCAAAATCAACCATGGTCGGAGTATAGCCTGCACAAATTGGACATCACCGTAAACATAAATTGTGAAACATTGTGGAAATAAATAAATAAGGATTTGTGAATGAGTTTACCTAAATTCTTTAACATCCGCTTCAAACCCTCATTCCGAAACTTTTGATTGAAGTTGCTTGCAATATGACGAATACAAAAGACGTGATACGCTTTTGGTGGCAGCCAAGTAGGGTTATTCTCCACAGAAGATATTATGCTACGATGACGATCTGAGATCAGACATATGTTTGACATGTCTGTAACATGAGCACGGATATTAACAAGAAAATAGTCCCATGCTTCCAAGGTTTCACCTTCAACGATGGCAAAAGCGATCGGTAAACATTCATCATTACCATCTTGGGCTGTGGCCACCAACAATTTCCCTTTGTACTTCCCATATAAATGCGTTCCATCAATCTGTATGACGGGTTTGGCAAATTTGAACGCCTCACAACACTGTCTAAACGTCCAAAAAATGCGACGAAAGACCTTTTTTCCAGTAACTAACCCATGCTCCGCATAAAAATCATTTGTTTGGATATGATAAAATGAACTGGAGAAAAGCGAAGCATGTATTCGCACCACCTTGGCAAAAAAGCATAAGATTCCTCTCAATCACTGTACATAATAGCCATCGCTTTCTGCTTCGCATACCATGCCTTTCTGTAGGAAACTTTAAAGCCATATTTAGAGGTTATCCTTTCGTGAACCAAAGAAATTGAGACAGATGGTTCTTCCCTTATCATCCCTGCATCGAATAGGTCACACACTCGATAAAATAGAACGAATTTAATTAAACAGCAGTATGTAAACGTTGACAATTTATCAAAAATAAATATGGACCTAGAACGAGATCTGCAATAACATCTGCATCGAGCTGTCTATGTCCCTGGGAAATATGCTCATTCAAACAATTGTGATCTTCACCCAATCTCGTAATCTTCCAATTTTCACCAAACACTGGTTTGATCGCCCTGACACGCCACAGGCAACCTTTATCATACGCACAACATTTCATGGATAACTTTGCAGGCGTGCTCTCAATTACAATTGCTTCTTGATGCTCCCTAATCAGGTTGTGCTTAAGTGCCATTTGGACATCTTTTTTTGTTGCAAATTCTTGATTCACAAATAACTTGTCACCCAGTTGCCACGGACCTTGTATTGAACCCGATCCTGAAACCGTACCATCAGTGCATGATTCTTGTTCGCTCCGATAACTCCAATCAATGTACGAATAATGCGGAATTCCATGCCAAAAAGGAATAACAGCCTCGTCACCTGCAACTGCGGATTATAACTTTTTTAATACAAACTTCCTACATCATGTATTAAATTAGGTATCTATCCAGGTATATACAAATTATATCAATTACCTTCATGATGATTACCTAATGGGGCTGACGCAACGTCATGCAATTGCGGCATTTGCGCAACCACTGGTTTATGGAATATTGGGATTTGAGACGCACCCATCTCACCACCTTCATCTCCTTTTGAAGCACTAGCATCCTCCGCCAAAAGACGTTCTTCCAATTCGATATTTTCATCATCGTTGTCGTCGGCTTCGTCGTGCATTTCCCAAGTCGGATCATTTTCATCTCCCTCAGAAAAGTTACCAACTGGAGACGCATGACCGACAGACGAAGATGGAAGACGACGAGAATTTAAATCAACTGACCTCACCAGTAATGGAACTTCATCCGTTGCGGCGATGTCGACATACAACTCCAGAAAATCTGTCCTTAACTAGTTGAAAAATTCTTCCATTGTCATCTTCACGTCTTCATCGTCAACCACTTGCAAACTAATGTATTTATCACATTGCCATAACCTTGTCGTGATCTGAGTGATACATTGGTTGCCTTGAAGACTTAACTTCTGTCGAATTCTCTGATGCAGTTCGAATGGTTGCATTGCGTTGGATACGTGTCGGCCTTTTTTCACCTTCAAACATGACACCTCGTCGACCTTCTACCTTCCTATCATTGTAATATAACACAACACGAACAGAATCAGGATGTGAACTCATTCTTAAAAAGAATAAGAAATAAAATTCAAATACTAAATTAAAGATAAAGGATTATAGAAATTTTGGTAGAGAAGAGAGATATGAAAAGTGAGAGAAGAGGTGTGAAGAGTGAATGAAGGGGTAGAGGTATATATAGGGCACACATGTGATGCCCCTTTTGGGCGTCACATGTGACGCCCCATTAGGGCGTCTCCCCTTAGGGTGAGACGCCTCAATGGGGCGTCACATTGTGCAATACATCCGTGAATATTTCCAAAACTGCAATAAATGCGTAATTATTTAATTAAAAAGCATTATTTTAATTTTTTTTGCCAACTTCAGTTATGTATAAAACCTCGACCGGCACCACATTGCTTCATGACATAAGCAATCAAGCATATACTATAAGAAGTTTCAGACAGAAAACAGAGTTTCAATGGCTATCTTGTGAAGCTAACAGAGGAAGAAGTCGATAGAATGACTGGAAAGGAGTGGTGTATCTTTCCAGATGAGAAAAAAAAGCCCTCTATACAACAAGGTCTTGAGATTGTATTTGTAGTGATATTAGCACAACAATGACCACAGGAATTATACAGAAAAATAAGCAATTTCATGAGGCTTACTTGGAGGACATGTTTGGAGAGAAAACCTAAGGTGGTTAAAGCTGTCAACAAGAAGACATGCCTTGTACAAAGCTGAAGCATTTGATGAAAAGTATCAGTTGACTGCTAACGAATATCCAAAGCCTAAAGGTAATTTCTTTTGATGAGAGTTCGACTCTACGTTGCACCAACACTTTAAAAAATCTGAAATATTGTATCTGACACACTCCGACACTCTGATATGCTCAAACATCTATAATATTTGAAATTTCAATACATATCATGAAAAAATATCAATGTTTTATCAAATTAATATAATAAAAATTAAAAATGAATAACGAATAAATCTCACTGAAGTGTATGAGAGAATTTTAATTTGAAAATATAATAGTAAATATGTACATCTTATGTTTCTTTGCAAAATTGATGGATATAATGAATTTAGTTTCATTTTTTGTTAAATTATTAAATATTAAATATAATATACACTATATAAATTAAAAATATTATTTAATATCAAAATATGTCTTAATATATCAAAATTCAACATTTTTTAGAATTAAGATGTCGTGTGTCCCGTTTTCATATCGGTACAACATAGGTTTGACTAACAAATATCACTGATAATTGGCATTTTCTGTTATGAATGAGAAAGGGAAGTGATAGGAACCCACTTTGGTTTGGACCTCAAATGCAATAATTGACCCAAATTGGTAATGCTGTTAACAAGTGGAGATATTGACTGGAATGCCCTTCAACAGAATAGAGCATGAGTGTCATGGAGTTGGTTATATATAGGGGAGGACGCAAGGAAAGAGGGACATCTGGAAAAGTCTGAAGTAACTTGGGCCCTTTGGGGATTGGGAGAGAGTGGAACCTCTCATATGTGTCCACATTATCATTACCTTTATTGCTTTGTTATTCTCATTTTGGAGCCTTGTAATTTCTTTTACGTTCTGCAATTTTCCCTAGTATAAGGTGTTTCTGTTTGTAATGGTCATTGTGAAATACATGAATGATGAATATTCAGATCTTGGTTTCTTGAGTAATTCTGTTTTAGCTTGTTAATTGGTTGGTCCTTATCAATTGGTATCAGAGCTCCGATCTAGGAGCTCTGTGGTATGGGCACTACACAAAACCTGGAGAAACGAATGGATGTTGTGGAGGAGGAGCTGCGTAAGAACGATGCAATACATGATGAGGTGATTCGAAGGATGGAAGCGAATGAAGTGGCGATGACGGAAATCATCAAGAGGTTGGATGAGATGGCTGGAAGGAGGAGGAGACGTTCTCGCGATGAGAAAGATGACTCTGACGATCGAGTTTCAGGCATTAATGGAGGAAGGATAGACATGAGGTTTAACTTGGATGCTCCGGTGACCAGACGATTCCGGCCGAAGGTGTTTGACAACCCTTACAGGGCATTGTGCACACTGAAACAGAGTGGGAGCATAGCAGAGTTTCGCACGGAATTTAACAAGAGGGTGGGTGCCTTGCAGTTAGAAGACGAAGACTTACTCATGGAAGCATGGCGGACCGGCGTGTGGGACATTATCCGGGAAGAGTTGCTGAGGTTTCCGACGCTTAGCTTATCGGAGATGATGAAGTTTTCCTTGAAAATCGAGAAGAGAAACGTTGCTGAGAGGGAGGAAGGTTCTGGACAGGTTGGTAAAAATGGGGCTCTGGATTCAGTTGGTATGGTTTTGGGCCAGCGTACAGAAATTGGCCCAAACGAAACAAAGAAGGGTGCTGCAATGTATTTGGGCCCAAACAATGCTAATAACCCAGATAATACTAACCCGTTTTCAGCACATTCCAGAAGCTCTAACATGTATAACCCTAATGCCCACAATGCTCAGACGAACGACAAGAGGGGTGGACCAGCGATGAGGGGTTCGTCATCGGCCACCAGTAACCGTATGCAGGGAGATAACGTCAGCCATGGACGACGACTGTCACAAGCGGAGCTACACGAACGTCAACAACACGACCTCTGTTCTAAGGGCTATGAGTGCTGGAGTCCCAACCACCAGGTCCGTCAACTGCATCCTTTGGTGGTGGACATGGACGACGAGGAAGAGAGAGAAGGGAACGACGAAGGAGAAGGGTCAGCGGCAAAAAGGTCGGTTTCCGTCACTGGAAACCAAACGACGAGGAGCTTCGTGAGACAAGAGCGACGGCTGCTGTCTCAGGCTGAACTCCGCGAGCAACAACATTGCGACTTCATACGCGACAAGCGTTGGAACCCAAGCCACATAGGTGAAGCCCGTCAGCTCCATCTGCAACTGGCAGACGAAGACGAGGAAGAGGGTGATAGGAAAGAAGACGGAGCAGCAGTGGCACCAATCGTTGGCGTATCAGAAATTGGCCCAAATCCTTCGCTGGAGGAGTTTGTCAATAACCAAGTCAGTTTTGCCAATGTTTCTGACTGTATCTCCTCCTGTCACTCTGCGATGGTGGGTATCAGGATCAAGGAATCCACTAGCTTGCTTTATACCGTCTGGGATCATGGATGATAGTCAGAAATAATATAAACGGAACGTGGAGACCTTGGGGCTGTCTTGAAGCGTGGCGAGATTTGGGAAACTCTAAGGTAACCAAAGTAGTTAATAGGTTTCACATAGTTAATGAAGATAAACAGGGAATTTTATGGGATGAAATTGTTGATTTTTTGGGACTGGATGGAACACAAGAACAACCTGTGCCTAGCTATGTAAACCAATGGAAAGGTATATTTGGAAAAGAGCATTTTTCCATTGTCATTAATGTTTTTGATCAACATGATAAGGCTGTTGTGGCTACTAATGAAAATCTTATAATCAGAGCTCGTGTTACTTGCTGTATGAAAACAAAGGCAGAGACACTCAGTTGCAAATTTGTAGTTAAGGGTTCAAGGGCAGTAACAAAATGGGATCCTGGTGGGAGTTATCATGCTTCAAGCATATATGGGTCCCAACAATTCAAGCAATGGGATCCCGGAAAAATTAACATCACCTTGAGGACAAGGTGATTGTTAGGGGGGTAGTATTGATAGGAACCCACTTTGGTTTGGGCCTCAGATGCAATAATTGACCCAAATTGGTAATGCTGTTAACAAGTGGAGATATTGACTGGAATGCCCTCCAACAGAATAGAGCATGAGTGTCATGGAGTTGGTTATATATAGGGGAGGACGCAAGGAAAGGGGGACATCTGGAAAAGTCTGAAGTAACTTGGGACCTTTGGAGATTGGGAGAGAGTGGAACCTCTCATATGTGTTCCACATTATCATTACCTTTATTGCTTTGTTATTCTCATTTTGGAGCCTTGTAATTTCTTTTACGTTCTGCAATTTTCCCTAGTATAAGGTGTTTCTGTTTGTAATGGTCATTGTGAAATACATGAATGATGAATATTCAGATCTTGGTTTCTTGAGTAATTCTGTTTTAGCTTGTTAATTGGTTGGTCCTTATCAGGAAGCTTAATGGCAAGAGCCTTCATAATTCAAATAAGACAATAGCAGCAATAAGTGCAGTAGAAATTTATGTAGAAATTAAAATGGAAAATAGTTATCTTTCTATCATCTGAAGTTGCTATTTCTATGAACCACAATCAACCCAAGGAGGAAGTGATTTATAAATTCTGTTGGTCCGATAAGTTACATTTAACGTTGAGGACAAGGTCCATTTACATGTGGGGGGTAAAATAAGGAAGATGCTTCAGCTACTAATATGGGCAATTAGTTACAACTAATAGATACATGGCAACCGAAACAAAAAGCATGAGTAAAATACAAATGAAGGATTAAAAAAGGTGAGCACTGTGATATATCTCGACTGTTTCTTTCCCGAGTTACTCCTTTCTTTCCCAAACCACAGATGCACCTTCCTGAATTTCTGTAATCTCATGGTCCTGGACGATAACATTAAAAAAGAAACAGTTAAAAGATAGTAGGTAGTAAATCTTCGATCTTTATCTTATCCCACTTCATAAAAAAGGACAGGAAACTTTTTTGTTGTTGTTTTGGGGGGGGGGAGGATGTTCAGTGTACATGAGATATAATGTGGTGTGCAGGATGTGTACCATTAGTAGCCGAGAAAAAGATGCTCAATTACCCAAAGATATCACATACCGCATTATAAACTGGTATTTGATTGCGCCAAAACTCTAAAGGAGGAAGAAGCAACCTACCTGCAACATAACCCAAGCATAAAAAATCTGTCTGAAGTAAATGGCAGTGGATCATGCTTTTTAAATTAGAATATAAAAAAACAATAGCGTTGGGTGAGGAGTGTTAGATAACATAAGAGTGCATGAAAAGCACATAAAGTACAAGTATTATCTGCAAGCCTAATAATATGTAATATTTTTACATATAGACATCAATAGAAAATTTTACCAGATCTGGATTTTCTGAAACTCAATGACTCTGGAGAAACTGAGGATATTTTCCGTTTGCCTCCCTTTATCAAGGGGCTTACATCCTTTACACGAGGATATTTCACAGCGGATGCAGATTTAGTCATTTTTCTCTTAGGACTGATCCCTTTTGTTTTAACTGTCACTGGTTTTTTCTTATAACAGCCTTCAGTTTTTGCTGACAAAGTTCCAGAAATTCTGGATACAGATTTTTTAGCTAGCTGCTGGGATGATGTGTTTACTTGTCCCTGTGATTGTGACTCACTGGGTGTCACTGGAATTTTCAGTCCCTCTCCATCATGATTCTCCAAGGCCACTGAGTTAGAGCGCTTCTCTTTATCTGGATACTTTGGAGGACCTCCAGAAGCAGGCTGATTATTCTGCTGGCAGACTTTAATATTACGCAACCTGGCACTACGTCTACTCTTGCTACCACCACAGGCAACATTCACCCCACCCATCTCCTTTGAAGCATTGCATTCATCGTCAGAGAATGGTTTCTCATGTGATTGTGACTGAATGGGTGTCACGGGACTTTTCAGTCGTTCTCCATCACAATTCTCCAAGGCCGCTGAGGTAGAGCTCTTCTCTTCATCTGGATACTTTGGAAGACCTCCAGAAGCAGGCTGCTTCCTCTGCTGGCAGACTGTAATATTGCGCAAGCTGGCACTATGTCTACTCCCGCTACTACCATAGGCAACATTAACCCCAACCTTCTCCTTCGAAGCATTGCATTCATTGTCAGAGAATGGCTTCTCATGTGATCGTGACAGAATGGGTGTCACCGGACTTTTGAGTTGTTCTCCATCACAATTCTCCAAGGCCGCTGAGGTAGAGCTCTTCTCTTCATCTGGATACTTTGGAAGACCTCCAGAAGCAGGCTGCTTCCTCTGCTGGCAGACTGTAATATTGCGCAACCTGGCACTATGTCTACTCCCGCTACTACCACAGGCAACATTAACCCCAACCTTCTCCTTCGAAGCATTGCATTCATTGTCAGAGAATGGCTTCTCATGTGATCGTGACTGAATGGGTGTCACCGGACTTTTGAGTTGTTCTCCATCACAATTCTCCAAGGCCGCTGAGGTAGAGCTCTTCTCTTCATCTGGATACTTTGGAAGACCTCCAGAAGCAGGCTGCTTCTTCTGCTGGCAGACATCAATATTATGCAACCTGGCACTACGTTTACTCCTGCAACTACCATAAGCAACATTAACCCCACCCATCTCCTTCGAAGCATTGCATTCACCTTCAGGAAACGGTTTCTCGTGATCAACCGTGGCCTCTTCAGGTGAAGCTACAGGAGTTGGAATAGATTTTTCTACATCTACAACAACAATTAAAATATCTAGATAATAGACCAGAGAGAGATATAAAGGAAATGATAAAACATCAAACAACTACTTACCATCTGATAAGATTTCAGGACGAATTGCTATTACATTATCAGAAACAGCACCACCCAAATCAATGTCTGTGGTTGATTCCTCTCTGAAACAATCTATGACATAGCTTTCCCAGTTTGAAGGAAAGCCAAATATAAAACGGTTGAAAACCTATCCATTAATAAAACAAACCCAAAAATCAAATCAGTATAACATACAAATTTTATATCATCAAACTTGGGACAATTCCCACATTATAAACAACATCTTCCAAGACCCAGCATATACATTGAAACTTATGAACAAACCTCAGGGGAGAAACCATTTTCGAGTGTGCGTTGCTCGTTAATGAAACCATTGATGATAACGTATATCCCATCCGCAGTCTCAAGGTTAAACACATCATATCTTTTGATAACAGGAGCAGAAACAAACACCCGAATTGCTTCTTCCCTGAAACACAAATTGTTACAATAATCACACAATTTTTATCATTCATCATTCCAATCCAATGCGACCCTGTTCAAAGCAATTCAAATTCCACATAAACATTACACCAAAAAAATTCGCTACTTAAAAGTTGAAACGTCAAGGGTCTCAAAACCCTAACATGAAAGGGGGAGGGGTCTTACTTTCTTGATGACACGCCTGCGACGGCTAAACGCTTTCCTTGGAAGTCGTTTTGGGCTCTAACCAACCACCAATCGTACAAGCAAACCTTCGCGAACGAGAAAACAAAGCATCAGAACCAAAAAATAAATAAAATAAAATAAGAGAAGGGAAGAACGAAAGAAGTAGTGAGAATTAAGGAAGAAAAAGTAACCGTTCGTCGGAAATAAGATGACTCTGCGACGGCGTTGGTGTCGTTAGTAGGAGTTGAAATTGGAGTGGACTCAGCCATTAACGCGAAACGGGAAAACACAGTCCTATATCTTCTCTGTGGTTCCCGCTCACAACTCTAGTTGTAGCTATTTTTCGTTTTTTTTTTTTTTTGGTATTATCTGGTTGTAGCTTCTTCTCTTTTTTTCTTTTTTTGTTAAACATCTAGTTGTAGCTTTTACTCCTTTTAGTCTTTTACAATCGGTACTTCAATTATTTTTTTGTCTTCTCAACTATTTTTATGTGGTCACTCTACCAAAAACAAAATGATTTAGGGTATGTTTGAGGAAAATCATTTTTCTCAACATGAGATTACTTTATCACGAGGTATCGAAATTTGTATTATTCCTTTTTTTTTCAAGTGATGGGTCCCACCATTTATTATTCTATGGCATGAGAGATACTACCTCATATGACATGATTAAAGAGAAACTCATATTTAAATTCTGTTTTCAAAAATAATTTTTAATTTTTAGAAGAAAAAAATGTTTGACAATATCTTTTTTATAAATATAATTTTAAAAATTATAATTATTTTTAAATTTTTAAAATCACATTTATAGATATTAGCACAGTTGTATTACACAGTTGTATTGGTGATACTGATTAACTCTATCTGATTAGTTTGTTACTGTATCTGATTAGTTTGTTACTGTGTTAGTTTGTTAGATGCTTAGTCAGCAATGTATTAACCTCAACTCTATATATATATATAGAGAGAGTTGTGTGTACTGTATAATCAATCAACTCATTCACTTCTTCTCAGTATTAATCACAATGTTCATCTCTCTGATCTCTCTATCCCTCACCTCTCTTTTCTCTCATCGCATCCATGGTAGAATCTTGATATGGTATCAGAGCCCTCACCTAGGGCCTGATCCGTTCAACAAGCTTCAATCATGACTTCCGCTACCAACCTCAACGACAACAGCGCAACTCAACCAGAGAAATCAACTTCCAGATCTACAATGGAAACTAAGGATCCTTCCACACTCTTCAATTTCACGATCTCAGTGAAACTCACAGAAGATAACTATCTCTTCTGGAACCAGATCAACGAACCGATTATAACATCACACCAGTTGCAGTGTTTTTTGGTGAACCCTATTCCCTTGAAGTTCAATTCAAAACAGGATCGTGAAGACAACATCTCCACTTCAGAATATACAGAGTGGTTAACTTAAGATCAAATGCTTCTGACCTGGTTATTATCAACAATTTCTGAACAAATAGTCAATGACATTCTTCCAGTCAAGCACTCATTCGAAGCTTGGGAGAACATACACAAAGTGTTTCATGGAGTTATGAAATCACGAGCCAGACAACTCAGATCTGAACTCAAAATAATGAAGAAAGGAACGAAAACAGCCAAAGAGTATCTCACTCGAATGAAAACAATTTGTGACACTCTCAAATCGATTGGAAGTCCAGTATCTGTTGAGGAACATACTGGAACTATACTTGAAGGTTTGTCCTCTGAATATAATCCTTTTGTAATGATGATACACGATCGAGACAGAGCTTATTCAGTAGCAGATCTTGGAGTATAACTCATGGCTCATGAACAGCTCCTACTTAAGCAGAATGAGCAACTGCTAGCTGAGGAAGCATCTGTGAATCTCACACAACGCAGTAAGGCTCCTCCGAATGCTGAACCAGAAGAAGAAGAAGACTATGTCTCTGAGAACAGAAAACAGGATCGAACAGATCACCAAACGTTCATTGCTAAACGCTATCACACTTCCAATGGTGAAAACAAGGGAAGAGCAAGATCTGGAGGGAAATTTGGTCGTGGAAGAGGACGTGGAAATAGAACAAACGTTCATTGCCAACTGTGTTACAGATTTGGTCATGACGTACGTGATTGCTGGCACAAGTTTGAAGAGAATTTCATTCCAAACATGCCTTCACCACAAAACACCTCTTATCCACAATTCTTTGCTCATCAACAACCTCAGAATGTCAGGTCCTTCCAGTACAATAGACCACAGACTCAAACACAAGCACAAGCTTACTTGGCTGCACCATCATCTTCTAACTTAGCACCACTTCTTGAGTGGCTGCCTGATTCAGGTGCTTCGGACCATGTGACCGGGGTTCCTCAGAATGTTACACAAGGACACCAGCTTAGTGGTACTGACCACATTTTGATTGGCAATGGCCAAGGTTTGCCTATAACAGCAATTGGATCTTCTTCCTTCTTATCTCCTGTCGATAATAGCACCTGTCTACATCTTAAACACCTACTTTTAGTTCCATCAATCACTGAAAATCTCATCAGTGTTAGTAAATTTGCTAAAGATAACTCAGTTTTCTTTGAATTCCATTCTGATATTTGTCTTGTGAATGTCAGGATTCCCATAAAATTCTACTTCAAGGTACTGTTGGTGAAGATGGTTTGTACCGTTTTCCAGATCTCAAGTTTGCTAAGGACACTACTTCAGTTGCAAATAAACCTTGCTCAAAGTCTGTCAGCCTTGCTAGTATACCTGTTAATACAAGTGTTCAATATTCTAAATCTGTTGTTGATGTAATTGATAGTAGCCATACATCTTCTGATTTTGTAAACAATTCTATGTACACCTTGTGGCACTGCCGTCTTGGGCATCCACACTTAGATTCTCTCAAGAGTGTACTTAAGTCTTGTAATATACATCTCAATAATAAAATGGCAGAATTTTGTGCTTCTTGCTGTTGTGCCAAGGCTCATAGATTGCATTCCACACCTTCCACTACTGAATATAAGCAACCATTTGCTCTTGTACATAGTGACCTATGGGGACCCTCACCCCTAAAATCAACTCTTGGTAATAACTATTACATCTCATTTGTAGATGCCTATCCCAGATACACACGGCTTTATCTTTTAAAGCAAAAATCAGATGCCATCACAGTCTTCAAACAATTTCATGCCATGATAACTAACCAATTCCAACTACCTATAAAAGCCTTACAAACTGACTGGGGTGGTGAGTTTAGAGCATTTACTCAATATCTTCAAATGAGTGGAATAGCCCATAGAGTTACTTACCCTCACACCTCTCATCAAAATGGTATAGTTGAGAGAAAACATCGTCACATTGTGGAAATTGGGTTAGCCCTTCTAGCTCACTCCTCCCTTCCAATGAAATATTGGGACTATGCTTTCACCACAACCAGTTACCTAATAAATAGACTTCCCTCATCTGCCATCAACTTTGAGATCCCATACACCAGATTATTAAACCAACAACCTGATTACAAGTTTTTTAAAAAATTTGGGTGTGCATGTTTTCCCTTCCTCCGTCCCTACAACAAACACAAGTTGGTATTTAGATCAAAAGAGTGCATCTTTCTTGGTTATTCATCAAGTCACAAGGGATATGTCTGTTTAAGTCCAGAAGAGAGAATTTTTATTTCCAAAGATGTATTGTTCCATGAATTTCGTTTTCCTTATAAGGAATGGGAAAGCACTAGCAAACCTTCCCTCAGTCAACAACTACCTACTCCTGCATCTTTTCCATTACACATCCTACCTCAACCTACTCATCCCACATCACCTCATACCTACCCTTCTCATCCTACTTACCCCACTAAAACATCTACTTCTGCCAATTCAGCATCTGTCCGTCCAAGTTTAGCACAGGTCTATTTGCCTACTAAGTGTCCCACTGTTACACCAACCTCACGTCCTTCTTCTTCACCTATTCTGCCTACACATGAATCTCATTCACTTATTCTGCCTACAAATGAGACTTCCCTTACTGATTGTCCAATCCCTGTCGGTCCAATTTTTTCTTCTCCGAGTCAGTCTCAAAGTAGTGTTGCTGAGTCCAGCTTCTCTTCTACTCCTTATTCATCTCATTCTGAATATGTGCCATCTGGTTCACATAGCTCTTCTTCATCTGGTCACTCTATCACCACTAGATCAAAAACTTTGGCAAGAAATATTGCTTTGCTTACCTACCTTGAACCCACGTCTGTTAAGTAGGCCCTAGCTAGCTCATGCTGGCACCAAGCAATGAAATTGGAGTATTCTGCATTACAAAATAATCACACTTGGTCTCTGGTTACTTTACCTCCTGGTAGAAAGGCTATTGGGTGTAAATGGGTGTTCAAGATTAAAGAAAATCCTGATGGCAGTGTGAACAAATACAAGGCTAGACTTGTGGCAAAGGGGTTCCATCAAAGACCAGGTTTTGACTACAATGAGACCTTCTCCCCAGTTATCAAACCTGTTACAGTTCGAGTTGGTCTCTCTATTGCTCTCACATATGGTTGGTCTCTAAGACAATTGGATGTTAACAATGTGTTTTTGAATGGTGATCTTGCAGAAGAAGTATATATGATTCAACCTCCAGGGTTTGAATCCGAAGACAAGTCACTAGTGTGTAGGCTTCACAAGTCCTTGTATGGTCTTAAACAAGCCCCTAGAGCTTGGTTTGATAAGCTCAAAGGCTCTGTTGTGTCTCTTGGATTTCATGCAAGTAAATGTGATCCTTCTTTATTTATTTACAAGACTGGTTCAATGCGAATTTACATGCTTGTCTATGTGGATGATATAATTATCACAGGGAACAATTCTGCCTTTATTCAGCATCTCATAACTCAGCACAATTCCACTTTTGCTCTAAAGGATCTAGGAGAACTAGACTACTTCATTGGCATTGAAGTTAAGAGGGACTCTGTTGGTTCTCTTTCTCTCAATCAATCTAAGTATATCAGGGATCTGCTTTCTCGGGTCAATATGTGTGAAGCTAAGCCCATCTCAACTCCTATGCCCTATAGCTGCAAATTATCCAAAATTGGCAGCACCCTATTTGAAGATCCTCATCTATACAGATTAGTTGTGGGAGCCTTACAGTATGCTACAATAACAAGGCCAGAAATATCCTTTGCTGTGAATAAAGTTTGCAATTTATGAGCCAACCGTGTTTGGAGAATTGGAAAGTGGTTAAACGTATCTTGAGATACCTACAGGGAACACTCACTCATGGCCTTCATTTTCAAAAGGTCAAATCAGCCTCTGGTTCCTTTGGACTTACAGCGTTTTGTGATGCTGATTGGGGTGGTGATCCTGATGAT